CTTATGTCTCCTTCCATATCCACGTTCTCAACTATGTATAGCACGTCTCCCTGGATTCTTTTGATCAGCCCCAACACTCGCTGCAGCTCCCGGAACAAAGTGCTCCTTTCGTCTCTCATGCCTCTCCCTTCTCCTGCTTGTGAGTAGCCCTGGCACTCCCATCCTGCCACCACTATGTCAATTCTCTCCCATTCGCGCAACTGCTGTTCATTGACGCGTCGGATGTCGCTGGCCCCGCATAGCATACTGTGGCCCAGGGTGGCGGCGCAGAATTGATGCGGGTAACGTTCATGCAGCTTGTGTGCGTGGCACACTGCCATCTTAGCCGCCACCATGTCACTCTCCACCAAGATCCACTTCTCCACGCTGATACCTGACTTCAGCACCGCCGCCAGCCCTGTTCCGATACCGCCAAAGAGGTCGAGCACGACCGTCAGTCCCAGTAGCCGCTTAGTGTCGGTGCACATCGCCTTGAGGTCTGGTTCTCCCTCTGCCGGATCCGCCTGCGGCGCTGGCAGCCGTGAGATCTGCTGCCAGGTGGGTATGCCCAGCTCCTCCCGTATCTCCGCTTCTGTGCACTGGTAGGCCTCTCGTGGTTCCCTTCTCACAAAGTGCACTGGCAATGTACCAATTGGCCCGTCGTCTTCCCAGTAGCACACCCGAAATTGCACCTTCTCCTCCCACATGCAGATGGTGGCTCCGATCCCGAACAGGTATTCCACCCCGATGAGCAAATCAAAATCCTCTGATTCCGACACTCCGCAGTCCACTCTCACCGCACACTCCTCCGCAGTTCCTGGGTTCAGCATCAGGGACATGGCTTGCCTGGTCTTGGGCATCCATTTCGCCTCTCCCCCATCGGCCGTCATTAAGAGGTACCCTTCTGCGATCAGCCGTCCCGGCTTGTGCAGCTGCAGCTTTTCCGCCAGGCTCTTGCCAATCAACACATGCGCTGCTCCCGTGTCCACGATTGCTCGTTGCGACGTGAAGCCTCCGATAGTAATCGCTCCGGCGGCTATAGTCAGCACGGTGGCCTGACAGGCCATTCTCTCTCTTGGGTGCCGATATACTGCTCCCGCTCCCTCCGGGCGATCACTAGCTCGCCGCCTTGGTCCCGCTTCTCGCCGCACGTCTTCAGGGAAGTTCTGCCTCCTTGTGGCCCTCCGCAAGCCCAATTCGTCACGCTCCCGCGCCGGCTGAGCCATGAGAACAAACTCAGGTTCCTCCGCATCTTCATCTTCGCGTGCTACCATGGCCGGTTCCTTCTGCTCGGCCGCCTCTAAGTCGGCTAGCTGCGCCCGCAGTCGCGCGATAGTGGCTTGGCGATCCTCCCCTGCTTCTGCGCCTGGCGCTCCCGTCTTCCCGCGTAGAAATCCGCCTCGCGGTGTCCTTTGCGACTGCACCGCGTACAAGTTGGCGCGCTTGGGCATTCCCTTCGCATGTGCTCTCGGCTGCCACACAGCGAGCAAGCCGCAGGGTTACGGCAATCTCGTCGGAGAATGCCCGGTTAGACCGCAGTTGTGACATCTCAGCGGCTCCTCTCTTGCCCTCTCCTCTGCCTCTGGGTTGGCCGATGCCGCTGCCCATGCCGGCCGCCTCCTCTCTGGTCCTCTATCCGCCGTCCGCTCCACTTCATATAGCCGACGCCCGGTCTCCACTCGTTTCACGATCTCATAGGCTTCCCTCAAGGTGGCTTCTGATCCCATTTCGAACACTCGCACTTCCACGTCCTGCCGCAGTGGCTGGCTCAGTCCGTTTACAAACTTCCCAATCAGCCGTCCCTGGTCCGTGCAGTTCATGTCCTCCCCCAGCTCGACGAGTCTCCTGTAGTACGCCAGCAATGATTCCCCTTCCCGACGACGGAATCCCCGGAACTCGACCACCCTTTCCGCGGTTTGTAGCGGGAACTGCTCGCGGAGCATCGATAAGAAGCGCACCGTCGGGTCCCTTTCGCCTGGCGCTCGTCCCGCAGACCACTCCAGCAGCTCTCTCCTGGAAATTCTGTAGTAGGTCTCTGCCTCGCCCGCCAGGGTATTCGCCAAGCCTCTGAAGAATTCTTCCGGATCCAACCGATCCTTCGCCCAGCGCGCCTGGAGGTTTTCCAGCTGCATGATGTAGTTTTTAAGACTCGGCCCCCGTCTCGCGTCTCCCGAGAATCTCTCAGGCACTTCTATCTTGGGCAGCTGCGTGTACTTCCATCGCTGCAGCGTCGTCTCGTCTTCGGTTCATTGCCACGAGGCGCTCCGCTGATACGCACTCGGTCCCCCCGGCTGCGGGCGCCCCAGCATCTGGCTGCGCTGGCTTTCCCGCTGCTCCTCGGACGCATTCTTCCCGCCATCGCCTGGTTCTTCTCGAGCGCCGCCTTGCGGACCGCTCGCTCCTTCACTGAGGCCCTGCTGGCCCTCCGTTCTTCCGTCTCCCGCGGACCCCCTTCTTCGTTCCGCATCCTTTCGTTCGAACTAGGCCTGACCGTCACCGGCTCTAGCTGTCGTCCCGATCTCAGTTGCATAGACTGCGTGTTTGTCTATTCAACTACCTCCTAACTCATCCTGACTGCGGTTATGGCTCCGTGTTAAGACTGCTTATCTTGAAAACAGAATGCTGCAGTAATTCACGAAAACAAGCACGTAGTGGCAGTCCCATGGCCCAGGACCCTGCCTTAAGCTTCCCTACGCAAACCCTAGCAAGGCTGGCCTAACAATGCAACAGTGCTAGGCTACCTAGCTTGCCATCCACAATGCTCTTCCACCCGTCTCCAGCTGGCGTTGCTGCTTCCCAGCTCCGTCCTGGACTCGGTGTCTGCAAGAAGAAACCAAAGCACACACATGCACACCACACATCACACAGCATGCTCCCCACCCGCACCCTCCTCCACGTCATCTCGCTGTAACCCTGCCAGCGCACCCCGAATCCCGTTCCTCGCCCCACCTTTCCTCAACCTGTCTCACCCCGCCACGCCGCTGCCGTTACTGCCCTTCGCCACTATCGGTTTTGCTTATATACAAATGTACATGTTTTCCGCCTTCGCTCTCCACTACACCCTCTGTCAGGATTTCTTAGGCCTTAACCTCAGAATTCTGACATTCACACCCATGGTGGTTTATCATGACCGCGATATTGTACTTTGCACCATCAATCAAACTCATAATAAAAAGGAACATGTGGTACTGCATCATAGGCTGTTGTGGCAACAGGATTACGATATGAAAAAAATGCTTGCCTCCGTATGCAAAGAGTTCGTTATATCGTATTGCTGTTTGCCCTCCCTTGCAATGTACTCAAAGGCAGCATCCACATTCATGCCTGTTTTGGAAGACTGCATAAAGTAGTACAAAATCGGAGAGAGGACGGGAGAAAGAGGGGGGAAAGGGGGGGCTTTACCCATGCCATCAAAGTAATGAGGTTTCACATCAAACAATGAAAATGCATATCTTGTATATGAAAAAATTACATGCGATTCGTCCTGATCTTTATAAGGGGAAATCATTCAGCATGCGGGCAGCAAATGAGCAGTGAATCAAAAGAAAAAGAGGTGCCATATTCATGATGATATTAAACATATGAGCAGCTTGTTAATGTAGAAAGTAGATACGTACAGTCTCAAAAAAGTGTGCATCCATTTCATTGGCTAGTTGTTGCCCTTCTTCCTCGCTAATAGCCTAATGCACACAGGAGAGATGGTCGTAGAGAGGAGAGAGAGATTACAGATACAAAGAGAAGAGAGAGAGAGAGAGAGAGAGAGAGAGAGAGAGAGAGAGAGAGAGAGAGAGAGAGAGAGAGAGGGTGGGGGGGGAGGAGGGAGGGAGGGAGGGCGGGAGGGAGGGAGGGAGAAGCTAAGGATATGCACCATCGCATGTATGAAATACTGTGACATATAAATTCTCTCTTGAATAACACTGGCGACTAGCTGTCACAACAATATGTAACGTATCTGGTGTTTCGAGATGTGATAGAGTGCATACCCGTTTGTCGTCCATATCGGCCTTCGTGCCCACGAGAAGCACACGCACTCCTTGAGGTGAATGCTCCTCCATGCTCCTCATCCACCGTCTCACATCTGCATAACCATGTGCATGAAACAATAGTTCAAACCAAAGGTGATAAGAGCCAAACGGAAGCACTATAACAAGGGGACAGACGAACATAGTGGTTACTTACTATTGAAAGATGACCGGCTGGTGACGTCATATAATAGCATGATGCCATGTGCGTTCCGGTAGTAACCTGCCAAGAGCACATGTCGAAGCATAGTGGGTGTGGTTTGAGCTTAATTATATTACACCAAGAGCACACAGGTGATAGTATTAGAAACGGAATGCAATCCTGTCGATGACAATGTATGTGGCAAGGAATGGTGGCTCTAATATGCACCAGGACGAAATAGATTGAAACGTGCTTGCTGTTTGAACTGCAAACAAGTGAGAGCAGGTTAAGCGCTATGTATGTGTACCTTCAAACTGGTTCGGTGTATCTCACAACCTAATGGATCCCAAATGGCTACTCTCATCTCATTGCCATCGATGTCCATCATGCGAATAAAAAAATCGTTTCTGTAGACACAAAATAGAGGTCGTTCATTTAAGCTGAAACTACACACTTGATGCATTCCGTCTGATGGATATGTATGCATATGTGAGCGTTGGGGTGCGTGATTGTTATTATGTGCTTAGACTGTATGCAATGCACTACAAAAGACCGTTCGTTAGCAAGAGCGAGAGAGGGCGAGAGGAAGTGAATGGAGAAAGGTTGAGGGGGATCGGGGGAAGGGGGAGAGAGGGAAAGAAGAAGTGCTGTGATTATTACATACGCAGGGTGAGATGTTGGGGTCCAAAACTGGCGATGGCAAAGCCGAAGAATGAGACTGCTCTTACCCACCGCTGCCATGGACATCCAAGGAATGCAAATGCAGAATGCAATGTAACGATCTCAAGCTTAAAGCCTTATTAACCTCCCTCCCTCCCTCCCTTCGAAGAAGGAAACTGCTCTTACCCACCGCTGCAATGGACATCCAGAGAATTGCAAATGCAGAATGTGGAGTAAGTGACTCAAGCTCGCCTCCCCCTCTCTCCCCCCCTCTCTCCCCCCACCCTCCCCCCTTCCCTCTCCCCTCTCTCCCTCTACCGCTCCCCACCTTCCCCCCTCCCTCCCCCCCACCCTTTCCCCCTCCCTCCCCCCCCCTCCCTCCCCCCCTCCCTCCCCTGCTTCCCCCCTTCCCCCCTTCCCCCCTCTCTCCCCCCCACCCTTTCCCCCTCCCTCCACCCCACCCCCCCTTCCCCCGTCCCCCCATCCCCACCTCCCCCCCTCCCCCACTTCCCCCCACTTCCCCCCTTCCCGCGTCCCCCAATCCCCACCTCCCCCTCTTCCCACCCCCTCCCTCCCTCCCTCCCTCCCTCCCTCCCTCCCTCCCACCCTCCCTAGTGAATGGCAACGTGGAAATAAAACCCACGTGATTGGACACTAGTGGGACAATAGATGAGAAAAATAGCGCGGACCACTTATGGTTGTTCAGGAAGAAACCGCCATCTCTTGATTATAATCACGCATGCGTTGCTTTACCATAATCGCCGAGTAGGAGAAGCTTCAGCGGCCTAGCGGGTCTGCACTTCTGACCTCTCGAAACGCCGTAACCAAACATGATTGGCACATCCGGGACCTTACTACCACCTACGAACGGGCCAGCTGATTCTTGACGTCGTCCAATGCACCAGATTGAGTAGCAATACGAATTGAGCAAGAAATTCGAGAAATGTTACGAAAACAGAAAGCGTATTCGCGGAATCACTAGACACTAAGGATAGGAAGTTGTATTGGACCGTCGGAAAGAAAGTGCTGAAGGAAGGAATTTGACAACCAGTATTTCACAAATTCTTGCGATCTCCAAAAACGCAAGACATGCCTAACTAAGTCCCAGCTGAAATTACCGTGAGACCTGTTCTTCCGTGAAGACCTCCTAGCTTGTTAGTCAATTCACACCATGCCGTGTTCACCAGGTCACGTTACCCTACGCATCGAAATTCGCGCTGGTCAGGGCTGTTTAGTTGAGTCAATCAGGCCAATGCCGTGTTGACCAGTCACGTTACCCTTCGCAATGAGTTCGTGCTGCTCATCGAACTTCGTGGATGTCGAGTGTCGTCGATGTCTGTTGGCGAAACTTGACGAATCACGAATTTCGGCAATTCCCAGCACCAGGAAACAGTTCCCAACAATCAGTAACAACTCCAGACGCTGGCTGGATTTCAAGTTCAGAATCTTTGGACTTGAGAGTTCGCAAAAAAAGGGGTTACATGCTTTCAGTCAATGCCTTTGCCTCTCGCGACAATCAGAGGTGGTGTTGCGACGTTGAGATTGGCTGGGGATCACCAGCAAGATTGAAAAGGGGCGGTCGCCAAAACTTGTCTAGCAATTTTCCATGATCGATCGCAACAGGTTCGGTGATTGCACCGCACTGAAATCCTGATAGTTGCATTTACAACTTTACATTCCGCCAAATAATCGAATCAGAGTTGGTCGGATCGCAGGGTCAATGCTAGAGGTACCGCGTCTTGATTGGGAACCATCCCTCAATCCATGATCTTGTAGTGACGAAGGAAAAAACTAGTAAAGCGTCGTCATACTCCCACACGCGTTATTTTACACCCAGCTCGCTCGACTCAAATGACTCGCTCTCGTCGCGCTCAAGCGCGATTTCTCGTCACTCGCATTATCATCTCCTGCGGCGAACTCTCTTCGCTCACTTTGTCCCGTTGCCCGTCTCTCAGTATAGTCACTCGTTCTCACGTCACACGCTCTCCCATCACTCGCGTGACGCCCTCGTGTGCTCTGCTCGTCGGCCTCGCTCCCCCTCCCCGTCGCCCTCGCTTCCTCTCCCCGTCTGCCTCGTTTCCGCTGCCGGTCGTCCTCGCTTCCCCTGCTCATCGCCCTCGCTTCCCCTCATCACCGTCGTTTCCCCTCATCGCCGTTGCTTCCCCTGATCGCCCTCGCTTCCCCTCGTCGCCCTCGCTTTTCCTCCCCGTCTCCCTCGTTTCCCTTGCTCGGCGCCCTCGCTTGCCCTCCCATCGCTCTTCCCTCTCCCCCGATTCCCCTTCCTATCGCCCTTGCTTCCCCTCGCCGCTCTTCTCATCGCCTTGCCTGGCGCCCTCGCTTCTCTTGCCCATCGCCCTCGCTTTCCCCGTCGCACAGTTTCTCCCATTATTCATTCTCACGACATTCTTCCACACCCGTCAACCGCTCTCGTCCCACCCTCCCGTCATTCTCTCCCGTCGCTCACTCCTCCCAGATACCGCCCTTCTACACCCCACTTCTCACTCTCTTTAGTCTCTCACACTCTTCAGTCTCTCACATTCAGTCTCTCACAATTTCAGTCTCTCACACTCAGTCTCTCACATTCTTTAGTCTCACACACTAAGTCTCTCACATTCTTCAGTCTCTCACACTCAGTCTCTCACAATCTTCAGTCTCTCACACTCTTCAGTCTCTCACCCTCGTGGCACTCTCGACCACCCGCCACCCTCCCTTCCCTCCCCTTACTTACTCCCTTCCTGCCCCCACCAGCCCACCCTCTCTCACCTATCCCCCTCCTTCCCCACACTTACCGCCCTCTTTCCCCCCACTTACCGCCCTCTTCCCCCACATACTGCCCGCCTTCCCCCCTCCTCTTTTGCAGCAATTACCCCCAACTCACCCCGTTCCCGCCCCTTCTTCATCCCTTTCCTTCCCTCACTCACAGTCCGCCCTCTCCCCACTTGTCTCCTTTCCCTCCCCTCACTCACTTACCACCCTCCTTCCTCCCCACATACCGCCCTCTTTCCTCCCCACATACTGGCCTTTTTGCCTTACGTGCCACCCTCCAGCCACCCACTTACCACCCTCAACCACATCCACATACCACCCTGCTTCCCCCCACTTGCCAACCTCCAACCCCCTATCAACCACCCTAATGACCCCCCACAAACCACCCCCATACCCCCCACATACCGCCTCCGTGCCCCACCCACCTTTTTCCCTACATACCACCTTCCTTCCTTCCAACATGCCGCCCTCCTATCACCCCATATACTGCCCATGTTCCCCCCAACAAACTACCATCATTTCTCCCCTTATGACCCTCATTCAACCATACACTCATGCACCGTCACACCAATACAACCATACACTCATGCACCGTCACACCAATACAACCATACACTCATGCTTTCATCCCCTCTGACACACCCCTGTGCTCCAATCCACCCAGCGACTACGACCTCAACATGTGGTCGTGCCCGGCACGCGGCTCATGCACCGTCACACCCATCAACACAACCGTCCTCTGCACCGACTGCTCTGGTTTCTGCATCTCCTGCTCGACTGCAGGTACCAACAGTAGCAGGTGATGAGGGTAATAACTGCATCTCCTGCTTCACTGCAGGTACCAACAGTAGCATTTGAAGCAGGTAGGAGCCACACCAGCAGGTAAGCAGGCAGTTGTGTTGCGGCCCATTGGGCTCATGCAACATCACGCCCATCAACACAACTGTCCTCTGCCGACCTCTAGTAATGCTCCTCTCCTTCATGTCATGACCAGTGACCAGTGACCCGTGGGACTTTGAAAAGTAGGTAGTTGCGTTGTGGTCTCATGAAACATCACGCCCATCAACACAACAGTCCTTTGCGACCTCTAGTAATGCTCCTCTCCTTCATGTCATGACCAGTGACCAGTGGGACTTTGAAAAGCAGGTAGTTGCGTTGTGTGCTCATGAAACATCACGCCCGCCAACACAGCTGTCCTCTGCTCCTGCTGTTGCTCCTCCTCACATAAAAGCCGTGTGTTGACAGTTACCTTTTTGTGTCCCACTTGTGTGTGTGTGTGTGTGTGTGTGTGTGTATGTGTGTGTGTGTGTGTGCGCGCGCGCGTGCGTGCGTGCGTGCGCGCAAGCGTGCGTGCATGTGTGCGTGCGTGTTTTGTTCCCCCCAACTCTCCCCAGCAGCACCCCCTCCAGTGGAACCTCCTATCCCACCGCCTGTAGTCGACTCCCCCCCTCCGCCGCTCCCCTCCCCTCCCCCTCCATCCGCCTCACCTCCTGCCCCTCCCCCTGCCGAACCTCCCGTGTACCCCCCCCCTCCTCCTCCCTCCTCTCCTCCTCCGCCTCCCCCTTCCCCTCCCCGCCCACAACACCCTCCTCCCCCCCACCCACAACCCTCTTTCCCCCCCCACAACAGCCCTCTTCCCTCCAAAATAATGTCCTCATTCATCAAACTTACAACCCCTATGGCCCCTCTATTCCCACTCCGCATGGGCAGAGGGGCAGAGGTGTGGGGAACAAGGAGAGGGGAAGAGAGGAGAGAGTATAGGTTAAGGTTAAGATGGAGGGGAGGGAGAGGCAGGGAAGGGGGGTTGGTACTCAAGGGCTAGCAGGTGCGCATGGTGGAGGAGAATCAGATAGTGTATGTAACGCTTATATTCAGTGGCTAAAATCGAATAAGGGTTTTTTCTCTCTCTCAAAAATCAAGGTGAAACGAATTGGGAACTCACAGCTAGCAAATGCAGGTAGTTTTAGTATATTTGGTCAAGAAGATCGTAGTAGGCCCTGGAAACTTAGGGCTTAGTGGGAGTGTCAAGAGGGTACATCTGTATCAAAAGTTTGTCTACTTTGTCTGATCAGTAGTACGTATGTTATAGGACTGCAACCGGATGGTTATACAAATATGCTATCAGTACTGATGATGATAAGACAAAGTAGGCAAACATACCGTATTAGTAGAAGTATGTTTGTATTTTTTTAGTATTGTTTATTTTTGAACTTTCTAAATTCTCCAAATAAAAACCAACAACTCAATTGCAATAGGTACTAGCTCTGCAACCCATGAAAATGTTTCCTTCTAGAACAAACGGATGAGATGTAAAATGAGATTGCGTAACGGTTCACACGCTAACTTTCCCAACTCAGTGTAGCTTTGCGTTTTTCTTAACGAAAGCGCCATCGTGTGGAAGTTCGGGAGGGATTCAACGTCAAAGATTGCAAGATCCGTTTGTTCTCTGCTTACCAACGGCCTGACACGACCAGCAGAAGCAATACTCTTCATTGAGAAACGCTTCCAAGACGCTAGGGTTTCCTTGATGTCGACGCAACGATGCTTTCCATTCCAGAGTCTATCGCAAGGGTCCGTGTGTGAGTTCCATTTGCCTGTTGAGAGTTTATTTAGTGGCCCATCGGTTCGTTGCAAGGCATTTTGTGCTTTCAAATTTGACGACACAGCTTTCTGTTCCGTTTCTTTCCAGCCTTCAGGGTCTCGTAACCCTAGAGCTCACTCGACTGCACTATGGCTCGTACCAAGCAGACGGCTAGAAAGTCCACAGGAGGAAAGGCTCCTAGGAAGCAGCTCGCCACTAAGGTAGACTTAGTTGATATACATGTTTAAGCATATGTCAACGTCTTAGCACGGCCAATAGGTGCGTGTCCTCCCAACTGAATTATTTTCCTGCTTGAGTGGTTCAGGCTGCAAGGAAGTCTGCTCCTACAATAGGAGGAGTGAAGAAGCTACCATACGTTGGATTATACGCTTTGGACCCTTTGCGTTTAGCGTTTGTACGCTAGCGTGTACACGCAAAACGCAAAACGCTAACGAAAACGCTATACGCAGCCCGCCGACAAAGAAAAAATCGGAAAGCTCAAACGACGCGGAAGGGCACGACGAGCAAATCTGCGAAGCCAGATTGCACGTCCGCAGTCCGTGCTGGCGGAAAAGTGGCTTTATGTGTTGGTGTCGCGTTTGCCTGCGTTTGCCTAGTCTACTAAACTAGGTAAGTCTGTGGAGATGTGGGGGGGTTGGATTGAGAGGAGTAGTTGTGAGTTGCGTCTAGCTGTTTCACGAAAACAATCTGCCAACATTTTGACCCTCCGCAGGTAATTCGCCAGCAAGGCACGACAAATTTCACTCACTCGCCGCTTTCGCGAACGGTGGAAATTGTGGTGGTTGGGTACAAATGTGTTATCAGATCTGAACCCAACCATTTCCCGCAATTTCTAAGTTAGGGTTACGGGATAAGATTCCCGCATCGTCGACGAGTATGAAAAACTCCCGCTAGTAGCCGAAAATGCTCACCGCATTTTGTTTTGCCCTGCCCGGGGAACTTTTTTTCCTGCCCGGAAAAGCGTATCCTTGATCAGACCCCTCCAGCGTATAGCGTGCAAACACTAGCATATATACGACACGCATATATACGCTAAACGCGTATAATCCATCATAGTGAAGAAGCCCCATCGTTACCGTCCCGGAACCGTCGCCCTTCGGTGGGTATTTTCGAGATTTTCGTACGTCAGCTCCGTCGTGAGCTTGTCTGACATCTTTGTCGGAACATTATATAGCTTATACATTTGTGTAGGCTGTAGTGGGGTATCCCATAAGGGGTACAACCCAATTAGGGTTAGTACTTGTACCCACTTGTTTCATAGTTCATTCATTCTCGTTTCAGTTTTCTCATGGTATCGAGCAAGTTCCCTCGTGGGAACTGTTACTAGGGCCCACCATCTCGAAAAGTTTTTTTTTCCTGCCCGGAGCGCGCTCAACCTAGCCCGAATCGCGCTCCCCTACCTCGCGGCCCTCACGCCGCCTTGCGGCCTCGTCGCCCGCCCTACGGCCCGCGCGCCGCCCTTTCACGGCCCGCGCGCCGCCCTTCCTGGCCCGCGCGCCGCCCTTCCTGGCCCCGACCTGCCGCCCTGCGACCTCGCCGCCTACCCCGCGGCCCGTGCGCCGCCCTCTCCTGGCCCCGATCCGCCGCCCTGCGGCCTCGGCGCCTACCCTGCGGCCCAACCGCCTACCTGCGGTCCCGCCGCCCTTACATGCGGCCCCGCCTACTGCTTGCGGCCCCGCCCTTACCTGCGGCCCCTCCACCTACCGGCGGCCCCGCCCTTACCTACGGCCCCGCCGCCCTCAACTGTGGCCCCGCCGCCCTTACCTGCGGCCCCGTCGCCTGCCTGCGGCCCTGCCATTACCTGCGGCCCCACCACCTACCGGCGGCCCCGCCCTTACCTGCGGCCCCGTCCTTACCTGCGGCCCCACCACCTACCGGCGGCCCCGCCCTTACCTGCGGCTCCGCCGCCCTCAACTGCGGCCCTGTCGTCCTTACCTGCGGCCCCGCCGCCCTCACCTGTGGCCCCGCCACCCATACCTGCGGCCCCGCCGCCCTCACTTGCGGCCCCGCCACCCTTACCTGCGGCCCCGCCGCCCTTACCTGCGGCCCCGCCGCCCTCACTTGCGGCTCCGCTGCCCTTACCTGCGGCCCCGTCGCCTGCTGCAGCGCCGCCCGCCACCCGAGCCGCCCGAGCCACCTCACC